CGCTTCCATTTGAAATAAGGTAACTATAGAGTGTGCATATTTTGAATTCGTAGATTTTTCTAATATCTTTGTCAGAGTGCACAATTTAAACATGTTAACGATTGAAAACTATTTTCGTTTCAGGTACAGAGGAAAGAAATCTCCAGATGCAATACTCGCTGAAATTTGTTGGTGGTATAAAAACACCTTTGAAGAAGAGGAAGACGAGGAAAAAGAGGAAGAAGGGGAAGACAAAGATGAAATTCCAGAATATCTGTTGGACGAAATTATCGACCTTTCTGATGATGATGACGATGACCAAGATATTAGAGAGAGCAGTGATGTTGATCCACAGCCGCCTGCTAAACGGCAACTGGCCAAATCATTAATTTAATTTATTTAATTTTTTTACTTAAAACTTTTCATAACTAACATTTCAAAATTATATTTTTTTCCATATTTTTATAATTTCTTTTTCAATGTTTCTTCAAAACCAACACTGAAAAAATTGGTACATAAGAAATGAGAAGTAAATTAATATTAAGCTGGAAAACGCAAGCTTTGTGTTATGATTTTTTTCTTTTCAAATGAAATTTATTGAAGAAACTGAGAAGCATATTATAGATCAAACAGAAAGCAAAAAAGACGTAGTTTTGTAGAAAATATGTTCAAAAAGCATGAAAAAAAAAATCCAACATTTTGCTTCATAAGCACTACAAAAATTTTCTAAATCATTTTTTTTTCAACTGTAATTGTTGCACAGGTCTCTAGCAATAATTTGGCTTTAACAGATTGAAAAAATATCAATTAGTCGACGAGTTATAGCCAAAAAACCATATAAACAATATGCTGAAAATCGGCATTTGACTGCAAAGTTCGAAGGTCGATTAAAAAAAAATTCGAACTAACATAAACAAACGCCGCGGTACGGGTCTTCTAATTTGGCCTCTATTTTCACCCCTCACTCTCAGAATCGACCTAACTTTTGCTAACCTGAATTTGTTCCAAAGTGTTATGGGAACTATTTATTAACAAGGAATTGGCGATAGGGCTGAATAATAATTTTGCTGCCCCAAATATAAACAAAAACATTAAAATATTAGAAAATGGAGTTTCTGGTGGCCAAATTAATTAGTCTTACACTATATTAAATATTTCTTGTAAATACTTATGTATCTTTAATATTTCAAAAGCTTTGATTGTTTAAAATTAAATCGGAAGCATTTGTGTATATTCAAAATTCCCTTCTAAAATCATGTCTCGTACTTTTAGATCAAATGACTTTTTTTAAATTTTGTGCAATGTTTTTGTCATTGGACGCCAAGGATCAAGGGTGACACAAAATTCCGCAGTATCAAGAAAGCGTCTTAAATTTTATATTCACTCTCATTGCGAGAGTCGTGTCGAATGCAAGTCGTTTTTCGAGAGTCGAATCGTTTCGAAAATTCCACGTCATTGCCTAAAATTTCCACTCGACTAGTGTATTAAAATGGAAAAACTTGGCAGCACTGTATAGTTTTCGACGATTTTGGTCGTTTACTTATTTCATTACGACAATAGACAATGCTACTGTTGTCGAGTCGTACAATTTAGCCTAATTTACGACTTACGCAATGAGTCTGATTATCTATTTTACATCCACTGGATACTGTTTGCAAGTGTTTTCTAACCAGACGTTTTCGCATTCACAACATCTGTTTTTTGTGTCTACCGCATCTACTCAATTTTAGAGTAACGTAAAGCTGGTTTTCACTATGGGCTTGTTCGAGATGCAATCACAATCGCAGTGTTGCGCGAATTATTCATGCCTATTATGGTATCCGACAGATGGTTGCGGAGGGAGTTTTACTCACTTTTGACAGAATTTGCTATTATCGAAAACGCTCGATAATGCAGTTTGCGGATGAGTCAAAAGAGGTTAATGCAGTTTGCGAATGAAATAAAAAAGTGGCATCATTGAAAACGCATCCGATCCGTGATTCGTACAAATTTCTCTATCTGTCATTCACGCGCCATTGTGCTGCGGATACTAAAAACGATAAGATGGATAGCAATAAAATGTAAGAAAAATCACAATTATTTATCCCTTTAATATTGTAATATTGTAAAAAACACAAACTTATGTGTTTTAGGAAGCGTACAACGACCAGGGAGCAATTTAAATGTTTAGTTTCCAAAATGAAGGAGCATCCGGACATAGCAAAAAATTTTACTAAAAATGCACCTGATTTGGTAGAAAGATTTTGGGAAAGTGTGCGAGAGGAGTTGAATTCGATTGGACCGCCATCAAAAACCATTGCCGAATGGAAAAAGGTTTGCGAAATGTTGAAAAGCTAAAATATATTATTCACTAAGTTTGAACCACAGGTTTGGTCGGACTATAAATCGGCGATAAAGAAGAAGCTCGCGCATAACAAAAGAGAGCTACAAGCGACTGGTGGAGGAGTAAATAGGGAAATTCCCTTAACATCTATGGAAGAAGAAGTTGCTACCCTTGTGTGTCTTAATGATTGCGTTGGTGGTATTAGAAACTCCAAACAGTTTGGAGTGCCACAGGGGAGAAATTATGATGACGCAGTTCCATCTACATCGAGAAATGTTCCACAGATGAGAGCTTCTGCTACGAGAGATGTACCGCAGGAGAGAATATCTGAGGACACTTCTCCACCTACTCGGAGAGATTACGATGGTATTGAAGCTCATGAAGACGTAAATATTGAGAATGACCAAAATATTTCTAACCAAAGAAGAAAAAAGAGACCCGAGCAATTCGATTTATTAGAGAAGCAAATAGGGGTTCAAGAAAGACTGTACGAAAAAGTGTCTGAGGCTGTTGAGAACCAACAGGAATATTTTCAACACATGAGGGACCATTTAAAAAGACTGAATAGATCAGTAGAGAGGCTAGGCGACCAAAAAAAGAAAAATAATGAAATTCTTCAGAATACTCTTGAATAGATTAAAAGACATAACGCTGTGATGCAAAAGGCTGCTATTGAAAAATTAAGATTAAAAAGGGAACTTTTAAATATTGAGTTAAATAACGTCAACAGACACCTTAATTCTTAAAATAAGTGGGACCTGGCAATTTTTTTATGAGATTTTTTTTTTTATTTTATATTGGATTTTTTTTTATGACTGAAGTGCCTGAATACTTTCTGAACATGAAGGCTTTATTATTAAGTTTTTTTTCTGTTTTTGAAAATACTGTGTATGTTAACCAATGAAGTGATATGATTTTATTTTTATCTACATCCTTAGTGTGTAGACAACTTTGTGCAACACTTTGCCAGGAAGGCTTTTTACTTAAATATTAAGAAATATGTATCAAAATGAATTTTGTGATAATAAATAATTTTATTTTACAAAAAGCTACGTAACATCTCATTGCGAATTTGAGTTGCTTCATTTGTATATCGTTGAGGTTGTACAGGTTCGCCTACATATTCATCGGGTTCGTAGACTTCCTCCTGGTATTCGTCGGAAATATTATAATGTATTCGAATGTTGTGAAGTGCTGCCGCAACGTTTACAATTTGAACCACTTTCTCAGGAGCATAATGTAGTTGGCGAGCAGAAAGGAGACATCGGCACCAGTTCTTCCAAACGCCTATGGTCCGTTCAACAATATTACGGCCTTTACTATGGCTTTTATTAAATCTGCTTTCTGGACTATCAACGCCTGCACTTCGAAAGGGTGTTATAAGCCAGGGTAACAGTGGATATCCAGACTCACCTATGGAAGATCGATCATTGNGTGAAGTGCTGCCGCAACGTTTACAATTTGAACCACTTTCTCAGGAGCATAATGTAGTTGGCGAGCAGAAAGGAGACATCGGCACCAGTTCTTCCAAACGCCTATGGTCCGTTCAACAATAATACGGCCTTTACTATGGCTTTTATTAAATCTGCTTTCTGGACTATCAACGCCTGCACTTCGAAAGGGAGTTATAAGCCAGGGTAACAGTGGATATCCAGATTCACCTATGGAAGATCATTACAGTTAAAATACGCACTTTGATTATTCGTTATTTTTTTGTACCTAGCAGTCTTGTGCTTCTGTCTCCATTTTCATACTGCGCTTGGAAGAAGGTGGAAGCATCACTATTTTCCCAAATAAAAGAATCGTGACTTGCACCTGCATACCTACTGTTCACATACCTTATTCTTTGCTTATAGTCACATATCTGAAAATGCAAAATAAAAGAATATAAATAAATAATAAATTAAGGAAGTTCAAACTCATTTAGTTCTTACTATCATTGCATTAACACTGTAATATCCTTTCCGATTATAATAAAGGTGTGCATTGCCTGCAGCTGGTTTAAGAATTTTAATGTGAGTACCGTCAACACACATGACAATTCCAGGAATTCTAGTTTTTTCGAAAAAATATCTTTTCGCTTCAAGTTTTTCATTGTCTGTCATTGCTAAAGTAATCCATCTGGGACATAAAGTGGCTTCTAAGATGTTTAGTACATCAGAGAGTACTACAGAGACTGTGGATTGTGCCATGCCAATATTAAAATCTTGGCCAGTACCATTCTGATAGCCCCCTTCAGCTAAAAACCTTAAACAAGCTTCTAATTTAAGCTCTGGTGTTATGGAACATGATCTTCGAACTGGAGGCAATTTCTGGATTAATAATTCTAAAACGTACTTGAATGCTAACTTGTTAAGCCGGAACTGTTTTACAAATCTGTATAAGGAACTCGCATGTTAAAATGAAATAAAGACTTCAATAAATTTACTCACACCTCATCCGGCAACTCGAATACATTCACAACATTATCCCTGACTTTCCTTCTAGTCCGTCGCATATCACTCCTGGTGTTTTCATCGAAATCAATACAAAAAGCCACAGAATCCATTTAATATTTGCAATAAATTTCACCAATGTTAACAAAAATCCTTCACACATATAAGCACAGCTGATTATGTTGGCAATACAGTTCACAAGAGGCAACGCAGTGCATCCGTCGGTATCAATAATAGCGTTTACTTAAAAAAGTGAATCGAGTACGGATCGGATTAGATCCGAGCGGATGGAATCCGTCGGATACCATAATAGGCATGATTAAAGTATCACGTTCCGTGTGAATTTCTAGCAACGTTTTATCAATTGGGAAGTTGCAACAGTATTGCAAATTTTCTTCAGTGCTGCAGTATTGCTGCTTTTATTACGTGCCTCGAACAGGCCCTATGTCATATTTTGACGCCAAAATTTGTCGACATATTTTGACACAACTTTATCTCCTTTATCCATACCTTTACCGATAATAAATATGTGCCAAAACCAGACAGATCGTCGGTTTACCAGAACACGTACACGACTTAAGACTCGTCCTCATCGAAATCCATCAATATAGTGCTTTTTAATCCCATTTGACAATGCGTTTTCACTTATTTGACGAAAAATGCCATTAAATTTGACATAGTGAAAATAAGCCTTAGCTCTTGAAATTGCCAAAAAGATTGTTGCAACTTCTTTCTTTTGAAGGCTATACAGCTGGCTTGGTTTGAAATATATTCTTCAACATGACTGAACTTGCTTTGCAATAATATAGAAGGGATTTAAAAGCCCTTGCGAGTGTCGACTAGTAGTAGATAAACGACTCTTATTCGATTATCGCTTTTCCATGCTATTGTGCATGTCGATTTCTCGTTCAATAAGCGACTGTGAATAGTTTTTTATCGCTCATTTTTCTGCAACGGTTTGTTTGTAGAAGGATGAGCGACTATAAACTATTCACACGCACTTATTGAACGAGAAAACGACCTTGAAAATACCACGCATAATCTATAATAGACTAACAGTCGTTTATCTACTACTAGCCGACACTCGCAATAGGGGTGAATATTTTACACAAATCCCGATTTTTAATGGATAAATGGGTTTCGTCTGTAATAGAGGTTATCTGAATTGAAATAAAGAATAAATACGGATGGTATTTACTATTTATTCTCTTCAATTCAATTGGAATTTTTCTTAAAATACTTCCACGTGGTACATATTTTTGATAAAATAATGGAAGACTGTGCCTGACAAAAATTAAGTTCGCATTAAAACATTTTTTTTTTTCCAAAAATGCGCAAAGTGCTTGGGCAAATCATTCAAGTTTAGTTATATATAATGCCTCGCGGATATAACTTAAACAGATTCAGAAAAAAACCTTGCGCATTTTGGGGAAAAGACGGATTGAAAAATTTACCATGAAAAAAATTAGTTTATTACAAGTTATTCCTTATATCTCAGAAACCAATGAAATTATGCAATGATGAAAATCTGTAAAACAATCAACACACATCGCTTCATCAACAGCATTATACCTTCTAAACTTATACAGCCCAATCCTAAATATTCTCGCGGAATTTCTCCTTTGCGAATTTTAAAATCCTCTAAGAAAAAATCCTCCAATTCTAAATTGTCGGGGAGAAGGATTTTTGAGGAGTAGGATTTTTTCTCTTTCTATCTTTCGAAATCAGCTGTTATGCTTATTGTTGACAATTTTTCGATGATTTGCCAATGTGATTTTTGCATGTTTTGGCGAAACTTTATTAATTGTGGTTGATTCGGAAACTTAAAAATGAATAGCTTAGCGTTAAATATGGTAGTGAGAGAAATTAGTGAGGAAGAAAGGCAACAAACAAACGCGCAACGATTGGCGAGGAGGAAACTGCGCGACTTAATGAACCCCTTGGAGTTGCCTCAACCTTTGTGAGTAAAGGAGTTCAGAAATATGTGTTAAAACAACTAACTATTTCGTTTTCTACTTCTATAAATAGATTTGAAAAGTATTTCAGGTTGAATAAACCGGCGTTTGAATACTTGCTAGAAGTGGTAACGACTCATACACAGCCAGGTAGGAAGCAGTTTGCTGTTAAACCTATAGTGAAGTTGAGCGCCTGTTTGCGCTTTTTTGCGGAAGGTGGTTATCAGACGGGTGTGGGAAAAGACCACGACGTTGGACTAGCGCAGTCTAGTTTCTCCAAAGCACTCGCCGACGTGCTACGTATATTTGAGACGTATCTATGCCCACGGTGGGTACAGTTTCCAGTGACAGCGGAAGAAAAAAGCAAAAT